CGAACCCACTACCTTGGCGTTACAAGCGCCGTGCTCTACCAGCTGAGCTACAGAGGACCACATTGATGAGGTGGTCTGTGAGTGGTGTGTGAGTATTTTTTTTGTGTGTGTATTTGACCAGTAACCTCACCTCACACAGCACTGTTTGAAACACAGAACACCTCATCAAAACTCACCACTGTTTGAAACCCAGACCACCTCATCAAAACTCACCACTGTTTGAAACACAGACCACCTCATCAAAACTCACACACCACTGTTTGAAACCCAGACCACCTCATCAAAACTCACACACCACTGTTTGAAACCCAGACCACCTCATCAAAACTCACCACTGTTTGAAACACAGACCACCTCATCAAAACTCACACACCACTGTTTGAAACACAGACCACCTCATCAAAACTCACCACTGTTTGAAACACAGACCACCTCATCAAAACTCACCACTGTTTGAAACACAGACCACCTCATCAAAACTCACCACTGTTTGAAACACAGACCACCTCATCAAAACTCACACACCACTGTTTGAAACACAGACCACCTCATCAAAACTCACCACTGTTTGAAACACAGACCACCTCATCAAAACTCACCACTGTTTGAAACCCAGACCACCTCATCAAAACTCACCACTGTTTGAAACACAGACCACCTCATCAAAACTCACCACTGTTTGAAACACAGACCACCTCATCAAAACTCACACACCACTGTTTGAAACCCAGACCACCTCATCAAAACTCACCACTGTTTGAAACACAGACCACCTCATCAAAACTCACCACTGTTTGAAACACAGACCACCTCATCAAAACTCACACACCACTGTTTGAAACACAGACCACCTCATCAAAACTCACCACTGTTTGAAACACAGACCACCTCATCAAAACTCACCACTGTTTGAAACCCAGACCACCTCATCAAAACTCACACACCACTGTTTGAAACCCAGACCACCTCATCAAAACTCACACACCACTGTTTGAAACACAGATTACCTCATTAAAACTCACACACCACTGGGCCTCCCGACTGGCGCAGCAGTTTAGAGGCGTCACTCTAGACGCCTCGCAGTGCTAGAGGCGTCACTACAGACCCAGGTTCGATCCCGGGCTGTATCACAACCGGCCGTGATCGGGAGTCCCGTAGGGCGGCGCACAATTGGCCCAGCGTGGTTAGGGGAGGGTTTGGCCGCTCTAGCGACTCCTTGTGGCTGGCTGGGCGCCTGCAAGCTGAGGTCGGTTGTCAGGTGAACGGTGTTTCCTCCGACACATTGGTGCGGCTGGCTTCCGGGTTAAGCTGGCGGGTGTTAAGAAGCGCGGTTTGGCTGGTCATGTTTTGGAGGACGCATGACTCGACATTCGCCTCCCGAGCCAGTTGGGGAGTTGCAGCGATGATACAAGATCGTAATTAGGGAGAAAAAAGGGGGTAAAAAAAACAACAAAGAAAAAATGAGAATCAGAACCAAAGAGTTGAACGAATCAGACAGAGAATCAGACCAACATAGAACAGATCAGAACAGACATTAGAACAGAATCAGAACAGACAGTTAGAACACAGCTGAAAAATCAGAACCAGACAGTTAGAAACAGAATCAGAACCAGACAGTTAGAAACAGAATCAGAACCAGACAGTTAGAATCAGACAGCTAGAAACAGAATCAGAACCAGACAGTTAGAAACAGAATCAGAACCAGACAGTTAAAAGAATCAGAACCAAGTTAAAACAGAATCAGACAGCTAGAAACAGAATCAGAACCAGACAGTTAGAAAGAATCAGACAGCTAGAAACAGAATCAGAACCAGACAGTTAGAAACGAATCAGAACAGACAGTTAGAACAGAATCGAACCAGACAGCTAGAAACAGAATCAGAACAGAACAGTAGTTTGAAGAGAATCAGACAGCTAGAAACAGAATCAGAACCAGACAGTTAGAAACAGAATCAGAACCAGACAGTTAGACACAGAATCAGAACCAGACAGTTAGAAACAGAATCAGAACCAGACAGTTAGACACAGAATCAGAACCAGACAGTTAGAAACAGAATCAGAATCAGACAGTTAGAAAGAGAATCAGACAGCTAGAAACAGAATCAGAACCAGACAGTTAGAAACAGAATCAGAACCAGACAGTTAGACACAGAATCAGAACCAGACAGTTAGAAACAGAATCAGAACCAGACAGTTAGAAACAGAATCAGAACCAGACAGTTAGACACAGAAACAGAACCAGACAGTTACAAACAGAATCAGAACCAGACAGTTAGGACACAGAATCAGAACCAGACAGCTAGAAACAGAATCAGAACCAGACAGCTAGAAAAAGAATCAGAACCAGGCAGTTAGAAACAGAATCAGAACCAGACAGTTGGAAACAGAATCAGAACCAGACAGTTAGAAAAACAGAATCAGAACCAGACAGTTAGACACAGAATCAGAACCAGACAGCTAGAAACAGAATCAGAACCAGACAGCTAGAAAAAGAATCAGAACCAGGCAGTTAGAAACAGAATCAGAACCAGGCAGTTAGAAACAGAATCAGAACCAGGCTGTTAGAAACAGAATCAGAACCAGGCAGTTAGAAACAGGGCGACTAAGGAACTAAGAAACTTTATACCATTTAATAGATTTTCACAAAAGGCTATAAAAGATTACAAGGTCTCCTAACATATGGCTGCTCCATAATATTGTGGGGCGGTGCCATGGCAACAGGGTTGGTGGTGGAATGCTTTGGGGCCAGCACAGGACTCTGCCACTCCGCTCCCAAGCCACAGTTAGCACACACACACACGCACACACACACACACACACACACACACACACACTACAGGACTACAGGAGACAGCAGAGAGAGCACGCACCCATCCACATCGACGGGGCCGCAGTGGAGAGTGTCAAAAGCTTCAAGTTCCTCGGAGTGCACATCACTGACGACCTGAAATGGTTCCTTCACACAGACAGTGTGGTGAAGAAGGCGCAACAGCACCTTTTCAACCTCAGGAGGCTGAAGAAATTCGCCTTGGCCCTAAGACCCTCACGAACCTATACAGATGCACCGTTGAGAGCATCCTGTAGGAAACTTCACCGTCCGCAACCGCAGGGCTCCCCAGAGGGTGGTGTGTCAGCCCAACGCATCGCCAGGACACCTACAGCACCCGGTGTCACAGGAAGGCCAAGAAGATCATCAAGGACCTCAACCACCCGAGCCACGGCCTGTTCACCCCGCTACCATCTAGAAGGCGGGGTCAGTACATGTGCATCAAATCTCCAGGCCATTAGACTGTTAAACAGTCACCACTAGCCGGCCTCCGCCCAGTACCCTGCTTTACTTGGCTCATCGCACTCTAGCGACTCCTTGTGGCTGGCTGGGCCCCTGCAAGCTGACCCCGGTTGTCAGGTGAACAGTGTTTCCTCCGACACATTGGTGCGGCTGGCTTCCGGGTTAAGCTGGCGGGTGTTAAGAAGCGCGGTTTGGCAGGTCATGTTTCGGAGGACGCATGACTCGACCTTCGCCTCCCGAGCCCGTTGGGGAGTTGCAGCGATGAGACAAGATCGTAATTAGGGAGAAAAAAGGGGTAAAAAAACAAACAAATAAAAAATGAGAATCAGAACCAGACAGCTAGAAACAGACAGTTAGGAATAGAATCAGACAGTTAGAATCAGAACCAGACAGCTAGAAACAGAATCAGAACCAGACAGTTAGAATCAGACAACTAGAAACAGAAAATCAGAACAACAGAACGCTATTAAACAAGGAATCAGAGACCAGACAGCTAAAAGAAACCAGAAAATCAGAACCAGACAGTTAGAGAATCAGAACCAACTAAGAAACAGAATCAGAACCAGACAGTTAGAAACAGAACTTCATAACCAAAGACAGCTGAAACAGAACCAGAACCAGAAGACAGCTAGAAACCCAGAATCAAGTAACTAGAGACCAATGTTGGAGGGATTAAAACCATGGTGGAGCATAGCCAGCTTAGCTATCTTCCCTTCTCTCTCTCTCTCCTATTCTTCCACGTCATCCTCTCTCTCATCTCGCTCGTCTCTCTCCTCTCGTCTCTCTCTCTCCTCTCTCTCTCTCTCACCCTCTCTCTCCCTCTCTTTCTCTCTCTCTCTCTCTCTCGCTCTCTCTCTGTCTCAGCCTCTCTCTCTCACTCACCCTCTCTCTCTCTCTGTCTCACCCTCTTTCTCTCTCACCTTCTCTCTCTTTCTCTCTCCCTCCCCCTCTCTCTCCCCCTCCCCCCGCTCTCTCTCTCTCACTCTCTGCAGGCCTGTCAAGTCTCCTTTCCATCACCATAATTACTGATTGAGTCACTGATTACCCAGCCCAATGAGATGCCTCTGATATGGCAATAAAGCATTCACTCGATCTTCCTCTCATATCTGACTCCAGGTCAGGTCTGGGTCCCAAATGGAACCCTATTCCCTTTATAGAGTGCCCTGGTCCAAAGTAGTGCACTGTATAGGGAACAGAGAGCCATTTAGGATGGGACGCATCCCAGATCAGGTCTGGTTTTCATCCATAGCTTACGTACTACTTCTCAGGTTTGCCCACAGGCTGTTGGCATCTTGGCAGATTGACTGCGCTGTAGAAATGCATTGGTGTCGGTCGGTTCAACTTGTTCCATAGTATTCTGGTCGTGTTCTGGTTTCGGCAACAGGTGACGGATGTCATGTCTATGTGCTTGATAGACAGGCAGGAACTAAAATGTGGTTAGTTACATGAAGGACTAAGAAATAGCCTATATTATATTATATCAAATCGATTGCTTTGATTTGGAATATTTCAAAAATCAATTAAAGGGATCAGTTATTGGCACAATAAATACAGAATGTATAAGTAGAACTGTTGGTTAAAAATATTCTTACGAAAAATATCTATTATCATTGAAAATATGTAATCGTTCATCTTTTTTTATTGATAAAGATCCTTCAAACGTACATATTATGACGCCCCTTTGAGCTGAACCGTGATTGGTGGATTGAGGGGGGCGGTGACTATACGTTCAGGAAGAGGTCCATGGACCGTAAACTCTTCTGGTAGCAAATTAGTTAGCTAGGTGAATCTGCTGGAAAAAATAACACCGTTCGTTCGTTAAATCGTCGTTAATCATGTCTGCAAGAAACCCAGGGAATTCCCCTTGGTAAGACTCGCTTCCTTATTGTGGGAAATACACGTTTATCCTGCAACATTAGTCAAATCCAGCTAAATAGCTATCGATTGTGTTAGCACGTGCATCCAGATAGTATAAACTTTTAGCTTTTACCATAGAGGGTGAGTTTTATGATTATCAAGAATGTCCTAAACAATGTCTTGACTGTGACACTTAAGCCTAACTGAAAGAGTTTGGTTTCAATCAAACAAATGCATGTAAGAAGTACCGCTCTCACGTGATGTAAATTTAAGTACACAATGTATTTTACAATCACTGCACATTTTGCATGTCAACCGTTTTTAATATGTGTCTAGTTAGGTAACATGTAGAGAGATACTTTGTATCATGTCTAGTGAACACTGTAAAGATAGTAGCTAGTTACACGCTGAATTACTGTATGTTGGTGGTCTTGACTCTCATGATGTCCTGGCTAATATGTTTCCAATGACACCTCAGTGCAGCCAGGGTGAATCATGTGACTAATCTATCGGTGATCTCTTGTCTGACTGTACTAAGACCCCGGAAAACATTTTCGATACAGGCCTAACCATCGGTTTGTTAACTACTGTAAGCCTACTTGATATTCGGTAGATATCTGAACAGAATAGTGGATTCGGTGAGAAATAGGCCTGCATATACCTCCAATATAAACTTCTATGGAAGCGTTGTGGGCAGCGACCACATACCAACTTCAGTGTTTCTTATCAACCTTCCATATTGATGTTGCTGTTATTGTGTGTGTGTGTGTGTGTGTGTGTGTGTGTGTGTGTGTGTGTGTGTGTGTGTGTGTGTGTGTGTGTGTGTGTCAGACCTGGAGTGGGTGTCCAAGGTGCGCGTGAACACCCAGGCAGTGCTGAAGAGAGCTCAGCAGATCCAAGGACGCAACAAGAACAAGAAACAGTGGCAGGTAGGGGCTTTGGGGGTAGCATTGGTCTCTCTCTGTGTGTGTGTGTGTGTGTGTGTGTGTGTGTGTGTTTGTGCGCGCAATACCTTCATCTCCAATGTTTTCCTATAAATCTCATAAGAAGACACAAGATGAAAGGATAAAGTGATGCTCCATTTGTAGCCTACTGTTAGAATAAGGATATACAGTATGCTCAGTTTGTATCCTACTGTTAGAATAAGGATATGCAGTATGCTCCGTTTGTAGCCTACTGTTAGAATAAGGATATACAGTATGCTCAGTTTGTATCCTACTGTTAGAATAAGGATATACAGTATGCTCAGTTTGTATCCTACTGTTAGAATAAGGATATGCAGTATGCTCAGTTTGTAGCCTACTGTTAGAATAAGGATATACAGTATGCTCAGATTGTATCCTACTGTTAGAATAAGGATATACAGTATGCTCAGTTTGTATCCTACTGTTAGAATAAGGATTGGGATGTACAGTATTATTTTGTATGTTATCTAGTGTTGAAGTGTTGTCCACACCAACCCCTTGTATTGAGAACAAACAGTTATACACCGCGGTATGAGTTGACATCTGGCTCTGTGTCACTACATTAACCCATGATGCTCTCTGTCTTGTCTCCAGGCGGCGTGGCTTCTGCGGGCGGTGACCTGTATTGACCTGACGACCCTGGCTGGTGACGACACGCCTGGCAACGTCCACCGGCTGTGTATGAAGGCTACCCAGCCTGTACGCACTGACCTGCTGAAGAGCATGGACATGCATAACGAAGGTATGGGGGGGGTGGGCGTCTGTCTGACGGTCTGTCCGCGTCTCGCCCTCTCTCCACCTCACCCTTGCTCCAGAGACAGACTAGCTTTACATGGCTCTTCATAAAGCATGTGTATGAAATGTGTTAGCATGTTAGCGCTACATCCTCCTGAACATGACTGATGTTCTATACTTCATACTTGTTCTTCAAGTCACAACTTAACTGATGTAATATTTACCCACTAGAGGGCCACATACTCCTTAACTAATGTTATATTTACCCACTAGAGGGCGACATACTCCTTAACTCATGTAATATTTACCCACTAGAGGGCGACGTACTCCTTAACTCATGTAATATTTTCCCACTAGAGGGCGACGTACTCCTTAACTCATGAAATATTTTCCCACTAGAGGGCGACGTACTCCTTAACTCATGAAATATTTACCCACTAGAGGGAGACATACTCCTTAACTCATGTAATATTTACCCACTAGAGGGCGACATACTCCTTAACTCATGTAATATTTACCCACTAGAGGGCGACGTACTCCTTAACTCATGTAATATTTACCCACTAGAGGGCGACGTACTCCTTAACTCATGAAATATTTACCCACTAGAGGGCGACGTACTCCTTAACTCATGAAATATTTACCCACTAGAGGGAGACATACTCCTTAACTCATGTAATATTTACCCACTAGAGGGCGACATACTCCTTAACTCATGTAATATTTACCCACTAGAGGGCGACATACTCCTTAACTCATGTAATATTTACCCACTAGAGGGCGACGTACTCCTTAACTCATGAAATATTTACCCACTAGAGGGAGACATACTCCTTAACTCATGTAATATTTTCCCACTAGAGGGCGACATACTCCTTAACTCATGAAATATTTACCCACTAGAGGGCGACGTACTCCTTAACTCATGTAATATTTACCCACTAGAGGGCGACGTACTCCTATGTTTCACATGATAGGCCTATCTTTGGTGTTGGCAAAGAGTGAAGTTGTATCTGTGACTACTGCAGCAGTGTGTACCTGTCTCAGTTAGCTAAGAGGTGTAACTATATGTTCTGGTTGTGTCTGTGTATCTAGGTGTGACTACTGCAGCAGTGTGTGTGTACCCGTCTCGTGTGGCTGATGCTGTGAAGTCCCTGAAAGCAGCCAACTCCAGCCTACCTGTCGCCTCAGGTAAGAGAGAGGAGCAAGTCTACCTCCGTGTCATTCTGTAGTTGGACAGTCCGGGTGTATGTTGTCACTAATGAAGTACAGTTGTCACTTCTGTCATCCTCTGATTGGTTGTGTGTTTCTTTTGTTATTTTGATTGATTTATTGATCGATTAATATATATATGTGATTATAACACACATAAGCGACTCATACAGCCACAACACGAATGAAATAACAGGATGTTTTAGACATGAAAAACTATGGAGACCGACTCAGACATCACTGACTTTGCTATCTCTGATCCTCAGTGGCGACAGGTTTCCCTGCAGGCCAGACCCCTCTGAAGACCAGGCTAGAAGAGGTCCGTATGGCCGTAGAGGATGGAGCTATGGAGATAGATATAGTCATCAACAGGACTCTGGCCCTCACTGGACAGTGGGAAGGTATGGGTCCGTATGGCCGTAGAGGATGGAGCTATGGAGATAGATATAGTCATCAACAGGACTCTGGCCCTCACTGGACAGTGGGAAGGTATGGGTCCGGATGGGCCGTAGAGGATGGAGCTATGGAGATAGATATAGTCATCAACAGGACTCTGGCCCTCACTGGACAGTGGGAAGGTATGGGTCCGTTATGGCTGTAGAGGATGGAGCTATGGAGATAGATATAGTCATCAACAGGACTCTGGCCCTCACTGGACAGTGGGAAGGTATGGGTCCGTATGGCTGTAGAGGATGGAGCTATGGAGATAGATATAGTCATCAACAGGACTCTGGCCCTCACTGGACAGTGGGAAGGTATGGGTCCGTATGGCCGTAGAGGATGGAGCTATGGAGATAGATATAGTCATCAACAGGACTCTGGCCCTCACTGGACAGTGGGAAGGTATGGGTCCGTATGGCTGTAGAGGATGGAGCTATGGAGATAGATATAGTCATCAACAGGACTCTGGCCCTCACTGGACAGTGGGAAGGTATGGTATATATTATTATATACACTCACTGGCCAGTTTATTAGGTACACCAGTACCGGGTCGGACCCCCCTTTGCCTCCAGAACAGCCTGTTACTTACATACATACATACTGTCAACTGGAACCTGAAAACATACAGTCAACTGAACCTGAAAACATACAGTCAGCTAGAACGTGAAAACATACAGTCAACTGGAACCTGAAAACATACAGTCAACTGGAACCTGAAAACATACAGTCAACTGAACCTGAAAACATACAGTCAGCTAGAACGTGAAAACATACAGTCAACTGGAACCTGAAAACATACTGTCAACTGGAACCTGAAAACATACTGTCAGCTAGAACCTGAAAACATACTGTCAACTGGAACCTGAAAACATACAGTCAACTGGAACCTGAAAACATACAGTCAACTGGAACCTGAAAACATACAGTCAGCTAGAACCTGAAAACATACTGTCAGCTAGAACATGAAAACATACGTCAGCTAGAACATGAAAACATACTGTCAACTGAACTGAAAACATACTGTCACTGAACTGAAAACATACTGTCACTGAACATGAAAACATACTGTCAACTAGAACATGAAAACATACTGTCAACTGGAACATGAAAACATACTGTCAGCTAGAACATGAAAACATACTGTCAGCTAGAACGTGAAAACATACTGTCAGCTAGAACGTGAAAACATACTGTCAGCTAGAACGTGAAAACATACTGTCAGCTAGAACGTGAAAACATTCAGTCAGCTAGAACGTGAAAACATACTGTCAGCTAGAACGTGAAAACATTCAGTCAGCTAGAACGTGAAAACATACATGATACCTTCAGATGCTTCTATAACATAGTTGACACAAACATTGTGTACAAAGTATGAACTATGATGTTGCTATGACAGTATGAGCTATGACGTTGCTATGACAGTATGAGCTATGATGTTGCTATGACAGTATGAACTATGATGTTGCTATGACAGTATGAGCTATGGTGTTGCTATGACAGTATGAGCTATGATGTTGCTATGACAGTATGAACTATGATGTTGCTATGACAGTATGAACTATGATGTTGCTATGACAGTATGAACTATGATGTTGCTATGACAGTATGAACTATGATGTTGCTATGACAGTATGAACTATGATGTTGCTATGACAGTATGGGCTATGATGTTGCTATGACAGTATGAACTATGATGTTGCTATGACAGTATGAGCTATGATGTTGCTATGACAGTATGAGCTATGGTGTTGCTATGACAGTGAAGGTGTGTGGTGGAGTGTCCATTTTAAATGACCTCTCTCTCTCTCCTCAGCCGTGTATGATGAGGTGTGTCAGTTCAGAGAGGCCTGTGGGGAGGCTCACATGAAGTCCATCCTGGCTATAGGAGAGCTGGGGACGTACACTAACGTCTACAAGGCTAGTCTGGTGGCTATGATGGCTGGTGAGCGTGTTCTTTCTCTCTCACACACACACACACACACACACACACACAGTCTCACACACACACACACACACACACACACACACACACACACACACACACACACACACACAGGGCTGTATTCTGACTTGAGATCCAACTCCCATTTTCTGTCGTCGTTGTTGATGAATGATTTGCGAAAATCAAGAGTTGTATGTGCTCTCATCTCACCTCTGAATCAGGCCCAGTGATATTGTATTACAAATGGTGCAGTTTGTCATGTTCTCCTGTGGGAGGCGCTGTTGTTCATGCTGCTCTGTCTTTTGTACTTAGCTAACCTGATGAACGCTCTCTCTTTTATACACACACACACACACACACACACACACACACACACACACACACACACTGAACTGTACACTTAACTACCCGTCACATAATAAGCCGATTACTGTACCAAATTGTCAGCCGGTCCGATAGAGATCGTTATTAAAATACATTGCTTTTGTCGGCGCGCTTGCTCCTTAATCTCCCCTTGTTCTATAAATTGCGTATGAGATTCCAGAAATTGAATGATAATTTTGCCTATTAATCTATGACGGAGGCTATTTTACTCCCCTACACACACACACACACACTGCCTGCTTGCCCACGCTAGCCAAATGAAAAGAGCGCCATTACCACCATCCTCGTTTAATAACCTCTATCCATTATCAGGTCATTAACATCCCCATAACCAATCTACGGAATTACTCCTCCGTCTGAGGAGAGAGAGAGAGAGAGGGAAAGAGAGGAAAGATGGCGAGAGAGAGAGAGACAGAGAGAGGACGTTATGTGGAAGAGAGAGAGAGGGAGGGAGAGAGAGAGAGAGGACGTTATGGGGTAGAGAGAGGGAGGGAGAGAGAGAGAAAGGGGGTGAGAGGAGGAAGAGAGCGAGAGACACCAAAGACCATAAAATAAAACGGAAAAGAAAGAAAAAAATCTGACTGTTACAAATACATAGTACATGTCTGTAAGTGGAGCGTAAAGGTTTTTCATCAGCCTGGTAATGTAAAGAAATACATAGTACATGTCTGTTGTAATGGGCGTAAAAGTGTTATCCAGCCTGGTAATGTTAAAAATAACTTAGTAACATGTATGTAATGGAGCGTAAAGCTTTCATCAGCCTGGTAATGTAAAAATACATGAGTACATGTATGTAATGGAAGCGTAACTAAAGTGTTCATCAGCCTGGTAATGTAAAAATACATAGTAACTGTCTTGTAATGGAGCGTTTAAAGTGTTCATCAGCCTGTAATGTAAAAATACATAGTACATGTCTGTAAGGGAGCGTAAAGTGTTCATCAGCCTGGTAATGTAAAAAGACATAGTGACATGTCCGGTAATGGGAGCAGTAAAGTGGTTCATCAGCCGGGGTAATGTAAAAAATACATAGTACATGTCTGTATGGAGCGTAAAGTTTCTGTAATTTAGCGTAAAGTGTTCATCAGCCTGGTAATGTAAAAATACATAGTACAATGTATTAATGGAGCGTAAAGTGTTCATCAGCCTGGTAAGTAAAAATAGATATAGTCCATGTCGGTATGGAGCGTAAAGTGTTCATCGCCGGGTAATGTAAATAACATAGTACATGATCTGTAATGGAGCCTAAAGTCTTCATCAGCCTAGGTAATGTAAAAATACATAGTAAGGTTCTGTAATGGAGCGAAGGGTTCATCAGCCTGGTAATTAAAAATACATAGTCATGTCTGTAATGGAGCGTAAAGTGTTCATCAGCCTGGTAATGTAAAAATACATAGTACATGTCTGTAATGGAGCGTAAAGTGTTCATCAGCCTGGTAATGTAAAAATACATAGTACATGTCTGTAATGGAGCGTAAAGTGTTCATCAGCCTGGTAATGTAAAAATACATAGTACATGTCTGTAATGGAGCGTAAAGTGTTCATCAGCCTGGTAATGTAAAAATACATAATACATGTATGTAATGGAGAGTAAAGTGTTAATCAGCCTGGTAATGTAAAAATACATAGTACATGTCTGTAATGGAGCGTAAAGTGTTAATCAGCCTGGTAATGTAAAAATACATAGTACATGTCTGTAATGGAGCGTAAAGTGTTCATCAGCCTAGTAATGTAAAAATACATGTATGTAATGGAGCGTAAAGTGTTCATCAGCCTGGTAATGTAAAAATACATAGTACATGTCTGTAATGGAGCGAAGGTCGTAAAGTGTTCATCAGCCTAGTAATGTAAAAATACATAGTACATGTCTGTAATGGAGCGTAAAGTGTTCATCAGCCTGGTAATGAACTGTCATTAGAGACCAGGGGGAGGAGACAGAAGGAAAGGAGGATGGAGGGACGGTGATGTTTCACCAGGGCTCGTGGTTCATCTATTAAAAGCCTGTCATTTCATCTTCTATTTTTATCCAGAAAGCTGATAAAGACATAATTGTCTCAGAAGGAAAGGAAGTAGAGAAATGGAGAGATGAAGGGAAGGGAGGGAAGAGGATAAATGAAGGGTTATATTGATGAAGCAGGCAGCACACACCCTCTGTTAGCCCTGCCACAGTGTCACAGACACCATATGTTCTCCTCTGGCTCTGGAGACCCTGAGAGCAGGTCGGCCCTCAGTGGAACGTCTCTGGAGACCCTGAGAGCAGGTCGGCCCTCAGTGGAACGTCTCTGGAGACCCTGAGAGCAGGTCGGGCCTCAGTGGAACGTCTCTGGAGACCCTGAGAGCAGGTCGGGCCCTCAGTGGAACGTCTCTGGAGACCCTGAGAGCAGGTCGGGCCATCAGTGGAACGTCTCTGGAGACCCTGAGAGCAGGTCGGCCCTCAGTGGAACGTCTCTGGAGACCCTGAGAGCAGGTCGGCCCTCAGTGGAACGTCTCTGGAGACCCTGAGAGCAGGTCGGGCCCTCAGTGGAACGTCTCTGGAGACCCTGAGAGCAGGTCGGCCCTCAGTGGAACGTCTCTGGAGACCCTGAGAGCAGGTCGGCCCTCAGTGGAACGTCCTGTCTCAGTCAGATACTTTAGAAATAGCTGTACCTCTAATACTATAGTAGTACTATAGTAATACTATATTGTGTTGTATTTTAGTCCAGTTTGATGACATCTCTAAATCCCAGTTTCCTATTTTCATACAATCACATGTATTTCTGGAATTGTAGAGTGTTTTTAAATGTGTGTACTGTATTTTAGGTCATCTATAAGTCTAGTTTCCTATTTCTATAGCTCATCCTGCTTGGATGGGAACTTTCTGGAATTGTACGATGTTGAAAAGCTGAATAGATTCCATATCGATGGCTAGATTGTATTGTAATGGTGACAATAGCACAAAATTGTCCACCGGATGTTGTCTCGCATGTTATACAGTGCATTCGGGAAAGTATTCAGACCCCTTGACTTTTTCCACATTTTTGTTACGTTACAGCCTTATTCTAAAACGGAGGTCATTAAGGTCAGTTGAGGAAATGAGGTCATGTCTTTAACAATGTGTGTGTGTGTGTGTGTGTGTGTGTGTAACAACAGGGTCGGACTTCATCAAGACGTCAACAGGGAAGGAGTCTGTCAACGCTACGTACCCTGTCGCCATAGTGATGGTCAGAGCCATCCGGGACTACTTCCTGAAGACTGGACATAAGGTGTGGGTTTTAGTGTGTGTGTGCTTCTCTTAGAATCAATCCAGTCAACTCAGCTGAATTCATTCCGTTCAGTTCTAATCAATACCATTCAACAGACAATATGTACATCAGATATAAATGTATATGAAGTCTTATTGTTGTCTGACTGACGAAGCTGGTCGTTCCTGTCCTGTGAATCGTACCCTAGGTTGGTTTTAAGCCTGCTGGAGGGATCCGTACAGCCAAGGAGTCGTTGGTGTGGCTGACACTGATGAAGGAAGAGCTGGGAGACGAGTGGCTGAGCCCTCACCTCTTCAGACTGGGCGCTAGTAGTCTATTGGCTGACATAGAGAGACAGGTACACACACACACACACACCACACACACACACACACACACACACACACACACACACATACACACACACACACACACAGACACACACACACACACACCCACACACACACAGACACACACACAGACACAGACACACAGACACACACACACACATACACACACACACACACACACACAGACACACACACACACACACAGACACACACACAGACACAGACACAGAGGACACAGAGACACACACACACACACACACAAACACAGAGAGACACACACACAGACACACACACACACAGACACACACACACACAGACACACACACACACACCACACACCACACACACACACAGAGACACACACACACACACACACACACAGGAACACAAACACCCCAAAGAGACAAAAGAACACACACGACAAGACAAGACACGGGACCACACACAACACACAACACACAAACCACAAACACACCCCCAGAGACACACAGAGGGACCACAGAGACACACACAGACACACACAGACAACACACAACGAGGAGACCCACACAGAGACACACCACACACACAGAGACACAGAGAACAAAACACAAGAGAGACAACGAGACACACAACACACACACGACACAACACACAGACACACACAACAGACACACACACACACACACAGACACACACACAGACACACACACACACAGAGACACACACACACACAGAGACACACACACACACACAGAGACACACACACACACACACACAGACACACACACACACACACACACAAGAGACACACACAGAACACACACTACACAGAGCACCACACACACACAGAGACACACACACACACACACAGAGAGCACACACACACACACACACACACACACACACACACGACACACACAGAGACACACACACACACACAGAGACACACACACACACACAGAGACACACACAGAGAAACACCACACATCACAGAGACACACACACACCACCGAGAGCACACACACCACACAGAGAGACACACACAACACACACAGACACACACACACAACACAGACACACACACAGAGACACACACACACATAGACACACACACACACACACACACACACAGAGAGACACACACACACACACAGAGACACACACACACACACACTCCGGTCCTATCAACACAAGTCCCATAACATTAGTGCTGAGAGCAGAATGGCTTGGTACTGTAGGAAAATAATGGTTTAGTTTGTCCGTTAGTCATGACCTTTAACCTCTACAATTATGTTTAGTTTGTCTGTTAGTCATGACCTTTAACCTCTACAATTATGGTTTAGTTTGTCCGTTAGTCATGACCTTTAACCTCCTCTACAATTATGGTTTAGTTTGTCTGTTAGTCATGACCTTTTAACCTCTACAATTATGGTTTAGTTTGTCTGTTAGTCATGACCTTTTAACCTCTACATGTCACTGTTCCAGACCTTTTATTAACAACAGGGTCATATTTAAATGGTCCACTCTATCTAGCTAAGTGTTTTAACTGTTTTTAATGAATCCTCTTTTGTTATTCCCTGTTTCTCTGTTCTTCCAGATCTACCATTACGTGACTGGTCACTACGCAGCCTATCACCAGATGCCCATGGCCTGAAACCATGGTTACCAATTCAAAGTGACCAATCCGAAACCTCACCAAAATCAGCCTATCACTGTGCAGATTGCTTACAGGTTCCTCAAAGACATCTGCTACTGTACTTGTCAGGAATGTGTTCATTTGAGAAGATGACCCAGATCAAGTGAAGGAAAGAGACTGCCATTTTACAGTACACAGGACATACAGTACTTCTGGAATATCTTACTCTTTGTGCCTTGAGACCGTTAACCAGTATTGTTTCGTCCAAACAATGTGACATTATTATCCTGTAATAATTGAGTGAGTGTTGATGAGTCAGTCTTAATGAAAACAGAAAACTGTCATGAAATTAGAAAGAGTTTTAACTTGTAGTTATGAGAATACTATATTATACACAATATAAAGCGCTCAATTCAGTTTTCCGTCTCATCCAATTACTGTCCTTGCTGTAAAGAGAGAATGAAACCCATTATAAACACGGATGTTTGGACATCTTGTTGAAGATGTTGAGGCATGATTAAAGACCATATACACCATCAAACATTATGAATTGTTATTCAGATGAGCTAAAATACAAAAACTTTATTGTGCGTTAGGTTCTCACAAAATGGAAATTGGTCTTTGGCACTCTGGCCAACAGCTCTGGCCAACAGCTCTGGCCAACAGCTCTGGCCAACAGCTCTGGCCAACAGCTCCGGCCAACAGCTCTGGCCAACAGCTCTGGCCAACAGCTCTGACTAACAGCTCTGACTAACAGCTCTGACTAACAGCTCTGACTAACAGGGTAACTGTATTACACCACTACAGTTTCTCTTTCTGGGCACGTCGTCAATATTAAAGGACAAAAAAAAATTCTGGGCCTGTGTGCCCTTTTATCATGGTATCTACAGCATATAATCAGCTGGAAGTCCTATTCATGTGATCCGTTTTAGGCACGCCACCTGTCTAATGGCGTGCCTGCCTGGGTGCTGAATATGTTCTAGACTGTTCTCCTTTTGGACTAACTTCATTAGCGGGGAGCTCAGTGAAACCGAGAGAGGGTTAATGAGGGGCTAAGTGAATTTAAATGATCTGATTTGAAACCGCTCTGTTTGGACGCAGCTTAATTTGAAGACGGAAGAAAACTTTTTTCCCTCGGTCTCCCCCTCTTCTTCTGTTCTTTAAGGAAGATAACCCAGGCCGTAACCTGGACGAGAACAGAGGAGAGGATCAAAGAAATAACATTCATTGTGGAATGGGGGATGTGATCCTTGAGAGGGAGTGGAGAAATCTTGTCTAAAGAGGGATTGAGCCTGCTGAGGGAGAGAGGGGTGAAGTCTTGTCTAAAGATGGAAGGAGAGAGTACGCTCAGGGGGAAGGAAGAGAGGTGTGAACACAGCAGGGGTTTGGGATTAGGGCATGATGGGATATTTCAATTGGAAGTACGCAAAGCCTCACGTTTTATCTAATTAAATAAAGTTTTAGATAAGTGGGTGTGGCTTAGCAGAAAGTCTGGTTTCACTATTACAGGATGAGGGCATATTGAATTCAGAGTGGATGAGGATGAAGATGTGGAGATGAGGATGAAGATGAGTGGATGAGGATGAAGATGTGGATATGAGGATGAGGATGAGAGGATGAGGATGAAGATGTGGATATGAGGATGAGGAAGAGGATGAGAGTATGAGGATGAGAGGCTGCAGTTCTGGAATTTCTGGAACCTGACTTGCCTTGGCTATTGATACGGAGATTTCTGCAAATGTGCAGGATAGATTTTGTATGTATCTGCTGCTCTACTCTGCTGTCTACATAGCTTCTGTCCATTGATTATCATCACCAATAGGAGACAGTCTAAAGCAGTAGTTAACTATGAAGATTATCATCACCAATAGGAGACAGTCTAAAGCAGTAGTTAACTATGAAGATTATCATCACCAATAGGAGACAGTCTAAAGCAGTAGTTAACTATGAAGATTATCATCACCAATAGGAGACAGTCTAAAGCAGTAGTTAACTATGATGATTATCATCACCAATAGGAGACAGTCTAAAGCAGTAGTTAACTATGAAGATTATCATCACCAATAGGAGACAGTCTAAAGCAAATAGGAGACAGTCTAAAGCAGTAGTTAACTATGAAGATTATCATCACCAATAGGAGACAGTCTAAAGCAGTAGTTAACTATGAAGATTATCATCACCAATAGGAGACAGTCTAAAGCAGTAGTTAACTATGAAGATGATCATCACCAATAGGAGACAGTCTAAAGCAGTAGTTAACTATGAAGATTATCATCACCAATAGGAGACAGTCTAAAGCAGTAGTTAACTATGATGATTATCATCACCAATAGGAGACAGTCTAAAGCAGTAGTTACAGTGGGGGAAAAAAGTATTTAGTCAGCCCCCAATTGTGCAAGTTCTCCCACTTAAAAAGATGAGAGAGGCCTGTAATTTTCATCATAGGTACACGTCAACTATGACAGACAAATTGAGAATTTTTTTTCCAGAAAATCACATTGTAGGATTTTTTATGATTTTATTAGCAAATTATGGTGGAAAATAAGTATTTGGTCACCTACAAACAAGCAATATTTCTGGCTCTCACAGACCTGTAACTTCTTCTTTAAGAGGCTCCTCTGTCCTCCACTCGTTACCTGTATTAATGGCACCTGTTTGAACTTGTTATCAGTATAAAAGACACCTGTCCACAACCTCAAACAGTCACACTCCAAACTCCACTATGGCCAAGACCAAAGAGCTGTCAAAGGACGCCAGAAACAAAATTGTAGACCTGCACCAGGCTGGGAAGACTGAATCTGCAATAGGTAAGCAGCTTGGTTTGAAGAAATCAACTGTGGGAGCAATTATTAGGAAATGGAAGACATACAAGACCACTGATAATCTCCCTCGATCTGGGGCTCCACGCAAGATCTCACCCCGTGGGGTCAAAATGATCACAAGAACGGTGAGCAAAAATCCTAGAACCACATGGGGGGACCTAGTGAATGACCTGCAGAGAGCTGGGACCAAAGTAACAAAGCCTACCATCAGTAACACACTACGCCGCCAGGGACTGAAATCCTGCAGTGCCAGATGTGTCCCCCTGCTTAAGCCAGTACATGTCCAGGCCCGTCTGAAGTTTGCTAGAGTGCATTTGGATGATCCAGAAGAGGATTGGAAGAATGTCATATGGTCAGATGAAACCAAAATAGAACTTTTTGGTAAAAACTCAACTCGTCGTGTTTGGAGGACAAAGAATGCTGAGTTGCATCCAAAGAACACCATACCTACTGTGAAGCGTGGGGGTGGAAACATCATGCTTTGGGGCTGTTTTTCTGCAAAGGGACCAGGACGACTGATCCGTGTAAAGGAAAGAATGAATGGGGCCATGTATCGTGAGATTTTGAGTGAAAACTTCCTTCCATCAGCAAGGGCATTGAAGATGAAACGTGGCTGGGTCTTTCAGCATGACAATGATCCCAAACACACCGCCCGGGCAACGAAGGAGTGGCTTCGTAAGAAGCATTTCAAAGTCCTGGAGTGGCCTAGCCAGTCTCCAGATCTCAACCCCATAGAAAATCTTTGGAGGGAGTTGAAAGTCCGTGTTGCCCAGCGACAGCCCCAAAACATCACTGCTCTAGAGGAGATCTGCATGGAGGAATGGGCCAAAATACCAGCAACAGTGTGTGAAAACCTTGTGAAGACTTACAGAAAACGTTTGACCTGTGTCATTGTCAACAAAGGGTATATAACAAAGTATTGAGAAACTTTTGTTATTGACCAAATACTTTTTTTCCACCATAATTTGCAAATAAATTCATTAAAAATCCTACAATGTGATTTTCTGGATTTTTTTTTCTCATTTTGTCTGTCATAGTTGACGTGTACCTATGATGAAAATTACAGGCCTCTCTCATCTTTTTAAGTGGGAGAACTTGCACAATTGGTGGCTGACTAAATACTTTTTTTCCCCACTGTAACTATGATGATTATCATCACCAATAGGAGACAGTCTAAAGCAGTAGTTAACTATGAAGATTATCATCACCAATAGGAGACAGTCTAAAGCAGTAGTTAACTATGAAGATTATCATCACCAATAGGAGACAGTCTAAAGCAGTAGTTAACTATGAAGATTATCATCACCAATAGGAGACAGTCTAAAGCAGTAGTTAACTATGAAGATTATCATCACCAATAGGAGACAGTCTAAAGCAGTAGTTGAATAATAACGTGTCGGGCGATGCATAAGGAACTCGTCAGACTCTGGTTACCGGTCCTGATATACAGTGAGGGAAAAAAGTATTTGATCCCCCTGCTGATTTTGTACGTTTGCCCGCTGACAAAGACATGATCAGTCTATAATTTTAATGGTAGGTTTATTTGAACAGTGAGAGACAGAATAACAACAAAAAAATCCAGGAAAACGCATGTGAACAATGTTATAAATTGATTTGCATTTTAATGAGGGAAATAAGTATTTGACCTCTCTGCAAAACATGACATAGTACTTGGTGGCAAAACGCTTGTTGGCAATCACAGAGGTCAGACGTTTCTTGTAGTTGGCCACCAGGTTTGCACACATCTCAGGAGGGATTTTGTTCCACTCCTCTTTGCAGATCTTCTCCAAGTCATTAAGGTTTCGAGGCTGACGTTTGGCAACTCGAACCTTCAGCTCCCTCCACAGATTTTCTATGGGATTAAGGTCTGGAGACTGGCTAGGCCACTCCAGGACCTTAATGTGCTTCTTCTTGAGCCACTCCTTTGTTGCCTTGGCCGTGGGTTTTGGGTCATTGTCATTGTCATGCTGGAATACCCATCCACGACCCATTTTCAATGCCCTGGCTGAGGGAAGGAGGTTCTCACCCAAGATTTGACGGTACATGGCCCCGTCCATCGTCCCTTTGATGCGGTGAAGTTGTCCTGTCCCCTTAGCAGAAAAACACCCCCAAAGCATAATGTTTCCACCTCCATGTTTGACGGTGGGGATGGTGTAATTGGGTCATAGGCAGCATTCCTCCTCCTCCAAACACGGCAAGTTGAGTTGATGCCAAAGAGCTCGATTTTGGTCTCATCTGACCACAACACATTCATCCAGTTCTCCTCTGAATCATTCAGATGTTCATTGGCAAACTTCAGACGGGCCTGTATATGTGCTTTCTTGAGCAGGGGGACCTTGCGGGCGCTGCAGGATTTCAGTCCTTCACGGCGTAGTGTGTTACCAATTGTTTTCTTGGTGACTATGGTCCCAGCTGCCTTGAGATCATTGACAAGATCCTCCCGTGTAATTCTGGGCTGATTCCTCACCGTTCTCATGATCATTGCAACTCCACGAGGTGAGATCTTGCATGAAGCCCCAGGCCGAGGGAGAATGACAATTATTTTGTGTTTCTTCCATTTGCGAATAATCGCACCAACTTGTCACCTTCTCACCAAGCTGCCTGGCGATGGTCTTGTATCCCATTCCAGCCTTGTGTAGGTCTACAATCTTGTCCCTGATATCCTTGGAGAGCTCTTTGGTCTTGGCCATGGTGGAGAGTTTGAAATCTGATTGATTGATT